AAAATAGCAACCATTGCTTCCTAAAGAGGGACTTGCATTCGTTTTAAAGCACTCTTAAGCCATCTGGGGCTTCCTAGCTATTTCAAAAGCAAGAATCTGTGAGAGACGCATACCCACCACTTTGAGATGTTAGAGATGTCTCGCTGCTTTTCTTCCTAATCCCCTTCCTGATGTGGTCCCGTTGTCATGCTGGGTGGTGGATGCCTCTCCTCCCCTGGGTGCTGGTAATTAGTGCCTTCAGCAGTCCCTGCCTGGCAGAGCTGGTTTCAGAAGGCAGTGTGAGTCTGCAGGGAGCCAGCTTCAGCCTCTCTGTTCGACTTCTGAGTATCCAAGTATGTACGAAGTTACTTGTGTCATTTTTTGCAACTTCTGTAAGGCTAAATGTAGGCATGATTTGCTGAAGGATATCAGAACTGCTTTGATCGGTTTTGTTTGTCTTGTAGTTTTAACTAATATTCCTCCAGTGAGTGGGAACTTGGTCAGAAATGAGAACTTGAAAGACTCTGCTTACTTGATCTCAGATTACAATTACTGACCTAACAGTGGGGCAGTGAAAGTTCTTGTTGGCCACCACTTTCTATTTCATTATGGCTGAAAACCGTAATGCTGCTATTCCATTTCTCAAGGTAGCACAGCTCCTGTCTAGTTTGGGCTAAAGCTACGGATCCATCCTTCAGCAGGGAGGAGTTACTGGAGAGTCTCAACAATGTTGTTTGCCTGGCTGGGAGCTGCTGCAGCTGATTGTGAGTCTCGTCCCAGTTCCCAGGGTTATTGCTATCACCTCTGTAATTGCTCTGTCGGTACTGGAACTAAAACTGGGTTAAAGAACAAAGCTGCACCGTGCTGCTGCTGTTCAGTCGATTAAGTGTCTGAAAGCACTCCCAGATACAGAAGCGTGGGGCAGAGCTCAGCTCTACCTGCCTGTAGCTGGCACGGCTGGCAGAAGAAGAGAGAGCTTTCTGCTGGGGAAGGTGCACCTCTTTTCTTGGGTTCTGGGAGCAAGACCTGCCTTGCTGGCATCCGTCAGCAGGGAAATGGAGGTGCTTTTGTACCTGGTGTCATACATTTATACAGCTGTGGAACTGTAAATCCTGGGGAGATGCCAGAGTTTAGTTGCTACCAGGTACGTAAGGATCTTGATTGACACTGTGATTTATGACGTTTTGTAATACTTGCAATGCTTTTCCCTTTTGGAAATGTTGATGGTTGTTTTTATTTTTTGAACTTCTTGGAATCAGATTTCTGAAGGAAATGAGATTTATGTAATGATGTTGCTTGTCAGTATCTGTCTCTTCTCCCCAAGAAACTTTTGAGCCCGTTTGCCATGTTCACCTGCATCCCATAGAAGGGTGGAAATCCCAAGGACTGGAAGCACTGCGAGCAGAAAAGTTGAAGAAAGCTTGGAGTTCTTGCAGGGCTAGAGGAGGAGCGTGGGATCTGCCTCACAGAGAGCAGTTTGTGCACTTCATTGCAGCTGTTGATTTACTGTTAGTGGGGATGGAGACGGGCTGTTCATGGAGTGACTTTATTCAGCTGAGCGTGACCGTAGGGCAGCATGAAATGTCTGCTCAGACCCACTGTTACTGCGTCGGTGTCGCTGCCTTTCCTGGTAGGGGATGGAGGGTGCTTGTTCCAGGCTGACTAATTAAGGAATGACAGCTGGTTTGAAATATCATTCTAATTTTGCAAGAGCTATGAGTAAGTTAACAAGAATTTCTGGAAAAAATGAACTTACAAGCAGGATTAATTGACAGTATTCAGAAGCTCAGCTTCTATTGTGAGGAGCTGCTGGGCTTCTGTGGTCCTGGCAGTAGCGCATCCTGCCTGTTCTGTCTGCCTGTGAGCACTGCTCAGCCCCATTGCAGGGGCTCAGGGCTGCACAGCTGAGCAGGGAGGAGCTCACTGCCTTCACCCATGCTTGCTGCATGGGGAAACAGGGTGTGGATGATGTTACTGGTGCTTGGGAGCTATTGGGAAGCTGTGCAGGAGGGCAGTGGGTAGCTGTGTGTCAAGGCTGGGTGGGGTAGGCAGCAAGACGCAGGTGGAGAGCAGGGAATGAATGGCATGATAAGGAGTGTCCAACTTGTAGATGCCTATCTGCCTTCTTGCCTAATAGTTGGAGACCTTCCCGCGTGAGGACCGGTGACACCAGCTGTTAGAGTTCTGGAATTCTTCTGATGAGCACTGTGGATATGTAGGACAAATTAGTCTTGTCTGATTGCTTCTTCCTGGGCACCAGGACAGGATCCACCTGGGCATCTTGTGTTCTGCAGTTAAGTGTTGGTGATGTGTTAGTCTGGGTCTGTGAGTTGGGATGTACGTGATCTGGGGAATAACCAGAAAAGTTAAATATTGTACAGGGTAGAAGTAGAAAGAATTTATTAGGAAGAGAAGATATAATAGGGAGCAATTTGAAGCAGGTTTAGGATAGAAGAAGACAGTAAGCAATATAGTTGATAGCATTAAATTAACATAGCTGTGTGTTAAATACTGTCTCATAGGCAGAGTTAAATTTCCAGCTAAGAGTGGATCCATGCAGTCTGCCCTCATCTCCGTGGCCCAGACATCAAAAGGATATGGAGGTGCCAGTCAGCAGCATTGCTGCGGGTGCCAGGTAGTTGCTGTGGAACCAAGAAGCTGTCCTTGTGCAGAGCCGTGCTGACCCTGTGAAGGACAAGGGACGAGTGGAGAGGGGTAGAAGAAACACAGCCTTCCTATTGCTCCAGCACAGCAGTGTGCGTACCAGGGACACAGCACCCCCTGAAAGCCTGCTACCCTTGACCTGAGCAGCGTCAGAGCCAGAGCAGGGTTCTGTAATAAGAGCTTGCTTTGTAGTCAGTAGCACAGTGTGGAAGTCTGAACATCTTGGTCAGGTTTTTCTTGCACGCTTTGTGTTAAGAGTGCTGCTCTGCTGTAGCTCTGTTGTGTGTTCCTGGAATGAAAGGCATTGAATCATTTAGGGCTTTATTCTTAGCCTACATCCCAGAAAAAGATAACTGTAACCTCTGAGAATTTTCCCAGTGAAGAAGCAGAAGAAAGCAGCGGCAGACACTCCATGACCTATTGAAGCACAGTGAGGTTGGGCTGAATTGATAGAACGTGGGATTTCTGCTCTACCCGAGCCAGACATGGCAGTGGGAAACTTCAAGGTTTGATACTCTCTGAGAGTTCTTCTTCTTGGCTCCTAGGTAATGGCAGCTCATAGAATCAGTGCATGTTTTTAACCTTAAACATCAAAAGAAATGCTGATGTTCCTTTCTCACTTAGGTGCTTGCTATCTGAAAGCACTGTCAACAACATATGGGAATTTTTAAGAAGAGTTTTGATATTTTTGATTTTTAAACTGAGAAACGTGCCCAGCGTAATTCCCTGGAGCCATGCCTGCCTTTTGGGCCGGGCTGGCTGGTGAGGACCTGCTGGGTGCCAGGAAGGCTGCGGTGAAGCTGTGCAGCACGGAGTCTCATGGGCACAGCTGTGCTGGTGCTGGGCTGCAAGGGCCTGGGGCTTGCTTCTCCAGAGACCATAATTGGGAAGTTGGGCTTATTTCTCCAGTGTTACTGTTCTTATGTGTCCAGAAGTACTGGAACACACCTATCCAGGGAATAGCAGAGATACCTTTACTGCCTTTGTCCAATTCTGGATTCCCTGCCCGCATCTCCTGGGCTTGTATTTGGTGTTGCTGTGCGTGCCATAACCAGACAGAGTGGAGCGTTCTATCATCCAGCAGACAGCTTTCATAATGACATCTTCCCTCTGTGTGAGGTGTGATTTTCATATATAACAGCAAGGCAGAAAAGAGCTTGGGGTATGCTTCAGAAGCAGCCCTGGAGTCAAGTGGTGGAGCAGGGCTTGCCTGTAGGGAGAATGCTGTTAATTTTTGGTTTCGAGTTTGCTGATTTTGGTGTGCTTCACTCATAATAAGAGGGGGATACGGAGACGAAGTGACAAATGTTTATTGATGTGGAACAGTGTTTTGATTTGGGAATGTAGTTGTTAAGGAGTTAAATCATAATCAGCAATGGCAAGAGTAAAGGAGATGTGTGACTTATTTCATCATGTGTTTGACTGGAGTGTATTGTTCCTCTTTCTGCTAAGAGAGGGGAGGAAGGATAAAAAATACAGGCGATGTTTTACGACCTTCAGGTTTTCTTGATGGCCACCTGGCAGTTATTCAGTGTGCAGTGGGGAGGGCATGCTGGTAGGAAGCTCAAGAGTGAGTACCAGTGAGCAGGCAGAAAGAAATGGCAGCTGGGTAGTGACAGCAGAAGTGAGCAGGTAATTAAAAGAAGGAAAGATTCTTGTAAAGTCAAGTGACCTCTAAAAAGAACTATTTGTGGCTGAATGTTGCTAGAAATTCTTCCATCTGTTGTTCTCGAGCAAAAGGGAAGATGAGGAGCAGGGAGGAGCAGTGGTGATGGAGGGCGAGCCTTGAAATTGGGGTGAAGGAAGCTGCTGACTGCCAAGGGGCTGTGGCCACAAACTGACTGCAAGCTGCAGGAACATTCTGCAGAGGGTGATCCCTCCTCTCATGCTGAACTGGGTCTGCCAAGAGGATTTAATACTCTGTTGCATGCAAACAGAATACCATGATTTTTTTTTTTTTATTTTTTATTTTCAACTAGATGTGTACGATTTTGCTTTGGCAGAAAGTGCTAGTTGATTGCTTTGACAGGTTTAATTACTTTGGCCTGAGTAGGATGCAAGTGAATTTATTTCCCACTGAGAAAAGCGTTGAAAGGCTGCACGAAAACCCTTCAAAGAAATTGAAGAGGGGCTGGGGAGTTGTCTTTACAGTAAGTGGGTTTGATAAATGTGTCAGTTAAAAGGGGAATTTATTTACAAGACACAGGTTTTGTGGCCAGAAATCTCTGATAATTTCATTCACAGGGAAAATTAATTTTACCTGTTCAATTAATTTGCTTTTTCATCATGCTTGTGCAGCGAGGAATTGCCGTAGTGTGAAAAACAGAACATTGAAATCCTAATTCCGTTTTTCCTAGAACACGTCAGTGATGGAGGATCAGAATGAAGATGAGTCTCCAAAGAAAAATACCCTATGGCAGGTAGGTGTGTGTGCATGGGGAGAGGTGGGCCATGGCTTTCCTAGGGAAGCTTCCACGTACCTGTGTCTGCAGATGCATAATCTTCCTTACATGTAGGTTGACTCTGTCATCCTAAAATAAGCTCAGTGTTCAAGTGAAGGATGACATCAATGAACAATACTGGAGAAATGACAAGATCTTAAATTCTGTGGTTTGTGCTGACCTTGAAATGACACAGTTGTGCTTCAAAGGATGTGTGTGAATGAGGTCCAGCCTTTCAGAGCAGGTGGCCTTTATTTAAAAGGAAAAATCCAACACTTGTGCGTAGAAAGGAGCTGCAACCAGTTGGCTTTGGACTATTTTGGGAATATTTAGGAGAGCCTCAGAAGCCCTTTTTGATGTCATAAAGAGCTCAGAAGAGCCTGGCATGAGCCTTTGATTCTCTTTGCTGATAAGTAGCAAGTCCTGGGGTGGTGTTCTGAACATCCTTATTTGTCACTGAAGCTCTCAGGATTTAGTTTATGTGGATGTTTGAAACGTTGATTGAGCTGTTGTTCAGAAACAAAACAAGCGTTGCAGTTTGACATCACATCATTCCTGGACCTTGTTTGTGGGCAAACAGTGCGACAGTGATGTGGACGGTCTTGATGGTTTTTATGTTAATTGGAGAAGTTGTAGCCAGCTTTTGTACATAACTGAGCACGTATTATTTCAACTGCTAGAGCCTCTGTCGAGCATTTGTGGAGGCAGGCTGCAGCGTGCAGCAAAGGCAAACTGGCATGTGCAGTAGGAGCCACTTAGTTTGGAAAATTTCTAGAACAGGTAAGGTCTTTGATGTTAAAATTGTAAGAGCTAGGAGAATTCAAATTCCAGCCTAACTCCTGGTTTGGAAGAAGGGCCTTTCACTTGGCCTTATCTGTGGAAGATGAGGTGTGCATGGCATTGCACATAGCTTGAATAGTGTTTAAAAGTTTGATTGCTGTCTTTGTTTCTTCTCACCTTCTCTTCATTGGCGGGTTCTTAGAAGGCTGTTCTTGTTCATTTCAAGTACTGACGCTTTGTTTCTAAAAACAGATAAGTAATGGAACTTCATCTGTGATTGTCTCAAGAAAAAGACCATCAGAAGGAAACTACGAAAAGGAAAAAGACTTGTGTATTAAATATTTTGACCAGTGGTCTGAATCAGATCAAGTTGAATTTGTGGAACATCTTATTTCACGAATGTGTCACTATCAGCATGGACATATTAACTCTTACTTGAAGCCCATGTTACAACGGGACTTCATCACTGCGTTACCAGGTAAATTAATACTCATTTTACAAAAAGCATGTTGATGAAAGCGTTTTTCTGATACTTGGAATGTATGTGTGCAGACTTTTCTGAACATCCTCCAGATGTAGACTGTCTGCTTTAAATAATGTGATGTTTCCTAGTCAGAGGAAATGCAGGAGGGCAGCTGAGTCATTTGCTTCTGTGATTAATTGAATTGGCCACTGGATGCCAGTGTTGTTCCATGAAGAGCAGTTTGAGTAGAATATCCTGAAGAACGGCGCATTTTCCAAATCCTGAATGAAAAGCTGCCTGCACAGATAAATGAATCTGGTTTGTCTTATCTTGTTGCTGACTCAAGAGCAGAAACAACTGGGGATTTCTTTGTGTTGTCCAGCTTTGATTCCTTTCTTCGGTTGTTCAGAGCCTCCAGTGCTACAAATCAGAGTAAAACTTTGTCAACAGTTTGAGTATGAAATATATTCTTTCACTTCAGATATTCATGTCTTTGAAAAATATGGAACATTAATAAGTAGGTACACAAAATCTTTCACTTCTGATTTCCTAGAAAATTGTGGATTTTTCTTCCCGTTGATTTATGGAAAGATTTTTTCTGAAAGGTAAATATGTGGATGTCATTCTGAGAGTGGGAAGTATACATCACATAAGTGAGCAAATGTGTTCTATTTGCCACTGGCAGTAAAATAGCACAGACTGATACCTGCAGGGAATGGTCTGTGGCTGTTATCCAAGAACACCACAGCCGTGAGCAGTAAGAAGGGATACAAATGGAATGGACTGGAAATTGGTGATCTGGTAATCACCAGGACAGGTGAGGAAGGCTCCTCCAGCAGCTTGACCCTTACAAGCTCTCTGGTATCTAAGTTTTGAATGCTGCTATTTTGGTTTTTAATATTATGGTTGTTGTAGCTTGGATGTTGTGGGTTTCTGTTCTCTATAATATAAAATATTATATAAATATAAAATTATTTTTTTTCCTCAAAATTCGGATGAATTCAACTTTTGGAGGTAATAATGAGATTTTGACTCATCTGTCAAGCATGGTTGAAATTAAATTCATAGTAGCCAGAGGGATAAAGTAGGAGGATGAAGAATATGGGGTAGGACACAAAATAATACAGAATCTCATGTGCACTATTTCTTTTTTATTAAAAGAAGAAAGTCTTGAAAGTATGAATGGAGGCCATGAAAGGGAGGAAATTGCCTTTTCTCTCACATCTCCATTTCATGGAATTTCTTTTAAGAGAAGACTTAGTTTATCAAGGCACGTGCATAGAAAGGTGCTCCTCATTCTAACTGGAGAGCTCTGCTTTCAGTAGTGGACGTTTCTTTCAGCTTGCTTTGCTCTTGATTTCCTGATTTCTCTAGGGGAATATCTGAGATGTAACAAAAAAAAAAATGAAGTGAAATAGACCATCACAGTCGTCATGTGCAAGCATGAGCTTCAATTATACTTTTGTTTGCCTTTATGTTACGTGTCAAGGCAGATATAATGGAGATGCATGGTTCTTTTGTACTACATTTGTATGCTGAGGCATCTCTGGGAGCTTCCTCGCTGACAGTTGTTTTTACCACATTTATATATGTAACAAACAGATATTTGTGTTGACAACTTTTGTTGTTTGGAAGATGTGAATACTGGAAACTGTTCCATTTTCCTGTTTCTTAAAGGTAATATTGTAAAAAGAAACTCTTTGCTGGGCATAGAATCACAGAATCATAGAATTCTATTCATGCTGGGCATGATTTGCTGTTTTCAGTCCTTTTACTTTGATTAGCTTATGTTTGACACTACCTACAACACTCTGAGAGTCAGGAGCCGCCTCAGGTCATGAGGAAACCTTGGGGGCTTTGTGATGTTTTTATTCATTTGAAAAAGTTACTTTTCTGCAGATACCTGTAGTAGAAAACGCAGTTTCCCAGATGCCCAGTAGAAGCCAGGTTTTCATGTGGTGCTGTGCCACAGTGCTGCTGAACAGGGAGCTGCCCTGCATGCAGGCACCTGTCTGAGGTGCCTCTGCAGAAAATAGTGATGCTTGTTGGCTTTTGTCTGCATCCGGAGTCTTCAGCATTAGATGGGAGCTCTGTGCTGCTGGTGTGCATTTGCTACTTCTTGAGGTGCAGTAGGACACATCAGTTCCTGTGAGCAGAAGGAAAGAGACGTTAATTCTTCCCTTACCATCAGCCATGAGGGAATGTGGATTGGAGTGTGTGGTGTTTCTGTGTAGATTTACCCAAGAGCTTAATTGGACATGATTGAAATCAGAGCCACATTAGAATGATATCATGTTGAAGAGAAGATCAGTATTGCTTTTTAACAGGTAGTTCTACTGATCTGAAGTTAGCTAAACCTGTGTTTTAAACTGAAATCATTTCTGCTTGCTGCTGACCCTGCTGATTTTCACACCTGCGAGAACGAAGGGAAGATGGAAAGCATTGGCAGTGCTTCCCTTTGCCTCAGTGGAAGAAGTGATCGTTCTGGTGAACTTTGTTGCAAGTAGTGGCAGCATGTTTAGCCTGCAGGCTCTGTCCCTGCAGATCAGGCTGTGCTCAGCCTCTTTCGTGCTGCCTCAAGCCTGGCATGTAGCTGATGCTGCCTCAGCTCCTGCAGATCCCACCTGGATCTCTGCAGTGATCAGAGTGCAGTCGCACGATCCAAGGGACTGCTTTGTGTCTCGTGTTGGTCAGGCTCATAGAGCTGACGTCCTGCAGTTGGGTTCCATTGTGACACAAAGTGATACTTGCACATTGAGCTTGGAAATCCCTGTGGATTGTAACTTTTTTAAATTACAGTTGAAATTCAACCAAATCTTCATCTGGTACCTCTAATGAACAACAGCTGGCTTTTTTCACCATCTTCTGTAAAACTGCAGAAGCTCTGGAAGAGATATGGGGGAATAACATGATTTGCTGTTAGGTAAGCACACCCATAAATGCTAGATACATTTTACTGAAGAAAATTCAAAGGCTTTAGTCCCTAATTTGGAAACTGCTTTTCAAACTGAATATTCACAGACTTTTAATGTAAAACAGGTATTGGCAGCTGCTTTGGGCTTGAAGTGTTCTGAAAGTGGAGTCCTGCATGTTGTGTGATAGGATTATCACAGGCCCATCTGAGCTGCAGTGTAACAACCTGGTCCCGCTATGCAACTTCACATAAATATTTCACTTGACATGGCTTTGGTGTGAGTGAGGTCAACCTGGATGTCTTTGCAAGCAGGAAGGATTGTAAGAATAGGCTTGGTAGCAAAGCAAAGAGGTTGTACATCGGTGCTTTGCATGCAGCTTTCAAGGCTGTGTGTACTCAGAGAAGTTGAGATTGCTGTATTCTAACAGCATCAGAGAGCACTCTGCTGATCTTTACAAATCTATTTTTAACCATTATACAGGATTGTAAAAATTATGTGTCTGCTAATGGAGGGTTTCTACCTCGTAATTTGTAGTTGGTCCTTAAAAAGTGACCTAGTGAACCTAAAAAGGACCTAAAAAGTTTCCTAGTGAAACATGGGCTTCATAAAAAGCAGTTTGTATGTGTTGAAGTGTAAAGTGTACTGCCACAGACCGAGATGTGTAGAGACATTCTTGCTGTTGTGAAGCTGTGGCAGCTGATTGCAGCTAGCTTTTATGAAAAGCCTCGGTTAACTCAATGCAAAATTGCTGAGTACTTTGTACTAGGGTTGCACCACATGCAGGAGTCTGCAGCAGTTCTAGCTCTGTCAAGTGATGGGAAGCAGCCAGACACCTCTCCTGCCTTAAGACTCCTCAGGCCTGAGGTCTTGTTCCTAAAGCATCTTTTTGCTGATGGGTGCTCAGGTATTAACCCTCTTTAGAGCATTCCTAGCCTGCAGAAAACAAGCATTACTAGGAGAGAAGGCTTTCTGTGTATTCTAAGTTAATTAGATTACTTGCTCTCCTTAGGGACCACATTCCAGCTCTGAAGTTTTGCTGTGTTACAGTGAAATGTTCTTTATAAAACAGGATTCTGAGCAGGACGTGGGTGCCAACTCGGCGGCTGTGGGCTCTGCATGTGCTGCAGGAGGCCCTGAGCTGGCCAGGGCTGTGCTGTGTGCTGCTCCTCTCACCTGAGGGGCAGTGGCTCCTAGCAGCACAGCAGCCATCACCAGCTTCACGGTGTCTGTGGGCAGTCAGCAAATAGCTGCACATCATCCCCCTCAAGGACAGCTCAGGTTTTGGAGGGACTGCTGGGCCTTCGGGCTGCAGTTTGAGGTCAGTGTGCTGGCAGCTGGTCGCTGCCTTGCCCTCAGCTTGGCTGGTTTTATTGCTTGCTAGAAAGTGTACCACATCTTTTGAATACCTTAAAGTAGATTTTATTGTCTGGTAGCCATCATATTTATTTAATGAGGTTGCATTTATCTGCTTAATTTGATTGCATTTCTGGACTTGCAGCATGAGGTGGATGTGGATTCAGGTTTTTGCAGCTGTTTTTCAGAGGAGTATTACTGCCTTTTCGAATGCAGTTGTTTGAAAACTGAACAAGTATAAAACATTTCTGCTTTTGTCTGTCATTTTTCTTAATCAGTTCTGCACAATGACATTTAATCTGGAGAGCTGTTATTTTGAAAAAAATATAGTATTTCACAAGGAAAAGAAAACTGAAAGCACTTGGACTAGAGAAGCTGATGAATGTACTCGCTGTATTACTTGATCACATTTTTAAGTAGGGAAAGTGGTGGGCTTTGCCAATGCTGTCTTTGCTTAGCACCACAAGAGATAAGGCGGAGAGCCAGCATGGTGTTTGCTGCCTGCCATCATGACTGGGAACCTGATGCTCTTTGGTAGTCTCAGAACAGCAATGGGGATCAAACTACCAAAACTGCCTAAGTGACACTGAAATTCTTACACAAAGGATTTCAAATAGTATGGATTTCCAATGAAGGAGTGTGCTGTTTGCTGCTTGTACTCGATTCTAAAGTGCTTACCCTGCTGCTGGAAAGCAAGGGGTACTGCCCTCCTCACTCTAAAGGCAATTCAGTTCTGCTTAAAGCAGACCTAGTTTTATTTGGTGCTTTCTGAAAGATGATCTAAGTATGGTAGAAGAGGGGCTGAGGCCAGTATGTGCATTGTTCAGTTCAGAGGATGCTTTGCAGTATGGCTTTTTTATTGGGTTGACTATTGGTAACTCTACAGCTCCTTGGCATTCCTGTCTTGCTTTGTGGTGGGGTACTTATTTAGTTCATTGCCAGGAGATGGCAGTAACAGATAAACTTTTATGGTAGCATGAGTGTGTATGAACATTGTTTGAATGTCCTGCATTGTCTGTCACGTTCTGCCTTGGGAAGTGAGACTATGCACATGGCATGTCCGTGGTCTTTACATTTCAGAGACTGCTGAGAGCTGTGAGCAAGGTGACAGCAACAGTCGGGTGCCAGCATGGATGCTTTCTCCCCTACCCTTCCTTTTTGAGTGTGTGTGGTTGTAAAAAGGGCAGACTCGGAGTTCGCTTACGACTAATCAGCTAAAAACGTTTAACTTTTCCCATCTGTGAATGTTTGTATGCCTGTGTGGTGATTTTCTGTTCTTTATGTTTAGCCAGTCTGGCAGCATTACACTTCTCAGGCCTGGAATTAGAGAAGGATCCAGTAGGAGGGTTTGTTCAGCATGGATCCTGCTGTCCCATCTCTGTGACGAGAGATACATAGTGATACTCCAACCAGAAGGTGCCTGCTGAGGACAGCTGTTCCCTTGGTGGTACAACTACGTTATTTGATGAGCTTTGATTTGTTTGCTCATTCACCTGCAGTCTTTCAGATGCTCAAGTAAAAGATTTCTTTCATACCTTTAAGGTGCAGATGATGAAACATTTGCCTGTCATCATTCACATGCTGCCAGCTTTTATGGAACCCAGACATAGCTGGAGTGGGTTATTCCTCTAACATAAAGAAAAATTAAGGTCATTTGAAAAGATTAGCTTTGTGTGTGCCTCTGCTCCTCGGGCAGGCTGCAGCTGATTAAACCCATCTTTCACGTGGCAGAGACAGGACAGCATCGTGGAGCTCTGGGATGGCAGAGCACTGAAAGTCGGTGCTCTTGTCCTGCTGTTTTACAGACATCCTGTTGGCATCAATGATTACCTCCCTTTTCAAGCTTGAAACATAGCAGCCTGATCTTGGCCACTCTATCAGTTCTGTAATTTCCTAGTGTTTCTTATTGCCTAATGACTTTGCCTAAAGATCCTTGTGCAAATCATAATGCATCTGCAGCCCCACACCATGGCACCTGTGCTGGGAGAACAGCAAAAGCACCAACTGGGTCTGAAGAGGGAGAGGAGGGTGCTCTGAAAAGGGAAATGGTGTAGTGAAATGGGAGCCCTGAGCTCTTCCAGTTTGTGCACAGACTTTGGTGTGTTGCTCTGTGGGTAGCACTCACACTTACAGCAGTTAATTGCTATATCCTCTGCATTGTTTGCTTGGGGAGCTTCAGTGCTTCACATGGAAAACTTTCTTCCTTTTCAGAACGCAGTGCAGTATGCTGGGAAAACACTTAAACAACTGTTGTGTGATAGAAGTGTTACACTGCCTGACAGCCATGTCCTCCACATAGGCCGATCTTGAGTTGTTGAGCACCACCGTGTTGTTCTTAAGTTAGTTTTGTTGCATGCTGTGCCCTGTTGGTAGCACCTGTAACCATCAGCATCAGAGAGCTGCTTACTAAGCAGAGCTGTCTTGTTTTCACAAGCTGTGTCCTTTGCTTTTCACTGTGAGTAGAGTTATCAACTTGTTTCCCAGTGGTTTTGTGCTTTTAACTTTGAGAAAGGACCTTGCAATGATTACATTGCCCTGAGAATCCTTGGGAAAGCTGCCAAATCACAGTAGCTTCAATGTGTCCTAAGTATAAACAGTGCTTAGAATCCTTAAGTTGATAGTTACTAGCAAGGTTGGGATGGAGCAGAGTGGAAGACAGCTTTCACAGTGTGTACCAATACAAGCTGCTGGTAGTGCAGGAGGTGCTGCTCATAGCTGCCCTGCGGTGCTGTGTTGTTGGGAGAGACTTCCCTGCCTTGGAAGTGGTTGGGTTGGAGACCCTTGGTTACTTAGACCTTGCCACCGTTCAGTTGTTGGAGTCTATTGTTATGACTGGCCTTGAAAATATTGTAGGAGCTGCATTTCTGTAGTTCTCTGAATTGTTTGGGAGAACTGAACCAAGTGCTCTTCAGCTGCACGTGTTATCTTTTCATTGCTGCTCAAGTTTACAGAGGCTAAGCCCATGTACAGAGCACTGGAGGACTTAATGAGCACTTGAATTCTTTACAAAAAAAAGTTTCTTTTTTTCCCCCCCAGTATTTTGAAGTAGGTCATCATGAGAGACAGTGGAAAATTAAAAAAATGATCATCTCCTACTTTGAAAGTTGTTTTTCATGTGTGACCAACTGGCCTATGTTATCTCTGAAAATGGAGTTGGTTTAGGTTTCTCATGTAGCAGTGGAGAGCTTATGGGAGACCTACCAGTGATGTCTTGTTGGACCAGAGGCACTAGAGTTGAAATATGAACAGGAGAAATTTGCTTGCTATTTTAGAATTAGTGGAATATGTTACATAAGTGGCTTCTGCATGGTTTTAAGCTGCTTCTAGTAGTTAGGATCATCCAAAATGTCAATGTTTCTCCAGTCCACTATTAACTATTGCATATTGGCTTATTGCTGTCATGCCTTATGCTGCAGATAGAGTTAGGGCATGGGAATCTCCACGCAGATGTTGTGTCTGTGACATCTCAGTACTTCCCAAGAGCACAGTTGGAGCTGTGGAGTTTCGCTTGCAGTCCTGTCATGCACATTGCTGAGCTTGTTCTTTGACCTATGAAAGCCTACGTGGTCAGCAGGCAAACACGTATCTCTGTTCTATCATGGTGTGCTCAGGGCTGGGAGAATCACAGAGTCATAGAATGGCCTGGGTTGAAAAGGACCACAGTGATCATCTAATTTCAACCCCCTGCTATGTGGAGGGTCACCAACCACCAGACCAGCCTGGCCTTTGACCCCTCCAGGGATGAGGCATCCACGAGCTATCCCAGCAGGTGAAGAGGAGATGCAAAGATACTGTGTGTTATTATGGCTGTTTTATATATATGCTGTGAAGTCTCTGAAGCTAAACCAGAGTTACTTTGGGCTAGCATGTATGGTTCAGAAGCTGAGCCACCAGCTGTCACTATGTCAGAAGTACTTGACTTCTGGTGATCCTGAGCAGGCTTCAGCTGTTTCTTAGAAACAGTCATATTGCTGGGACAACGAATAAGTGCTGCACTGAATACAACTACGTTAAACCTGATGTTGTTTTAAAAAAAAATATTCCTCTTGAATTTTTCTGTAGCTGCAGAGAAACTGCAGCCGCCCTCCTCCGCTGGTGTAATCCTTCAGTAATAACTTCCCTGAGCGTGGAGGCTGGTGGCAGCCACCCATGAATCAGCATAACTGCCTGAGGTGTGAGAGCACCACGTCCACATAATGAATTTGTCTGACGTGTTTCCACTGCTTTCTCCCGCTTGCACCAGGCTGCAGGGCATGGTGTGTACCCAGAATTAAGGAGAGGCCTTGGCACCTGTAGATTGTAGAGCTGAAATACAAAAGAGGTCCCCATGTTTAATTTTTTTTTTCCCAGGCTTTGCTAATGCTTCTCCTGGAGATGTCTGTGTCTGTTGCTGTAGAGTCTATCTTCTGCTAGGTTGAGTAATCTGATGTTACAGGCAGCAGGAATCAATATTACAACCTTGTATTACAGATATTGAGGAATACCTGCTTCTTGGACCATGTAGCCCCATGGATTATGTGTCTAAAACATCCAGGATTCTGTGCTGAGAAGCAGCGAAATGCTTTCTTGCTGCTGATGCACAATGGTGAAGCTTAGTTTGCTCTCATTCTTTCTGTGAAGATGGGACAGTCTAGTAGTAGGAAGGGACTAAGGAGACAGGAGATAGATACTTTGGTGTACCTGGTGGAATTAATTTGTAACTGATGCTTCTGTGTATGGTATAACTAATCATATCTGCTCCAGTGCCTTAAATAAAGCTGTGTTAGCTTTCTCTCAGTGTACTGTAAAATGTGTTCAGTAGTTCACTGTGAAGTGATTGACGTGTTGACTGCCTTTGTTTCTTTGTAGAGCAAGGCTTAGATCACATAGCAGAAAACATCCTTTCCTATCTTGATGCCAGATCACTCTGTGCAGCAGAGCTGGTATGTAAGGAGTGGCAGAGAGTCATCTCTGAGGGAATGCTATGGAAAAAATTGATTGAAAGAATGGTACGCACAGATCCGCTGTGGAAGGGACTGTCAGAAAGAAGGTGTTGGTAAGTACCAAGACAGTAATTCATCTCGTACTGCATTCTCCTTGATAGACTGAGCTAATTGTGAGCTCCATCAGAGAGCAATTGATAGTGAGCATCACTGCAGTCCTTATTATCCTTTCTGTGGACTCTTGTGGCTGCAGCGGCAAAGAGCTTTTCATCCTTCACAAAGATATATGAAGGTATCAGGTGTTCTGCTTTAGGAACCTGTTTCTCTGTGCTCTCTAGTGGTGTGCCTAAGAAAGTGCAAGGCATGGTGTAAGGAGCTGTGCAAGAGGAGGACACCCTGCTGGCCAAAGCCCTGAGAAGCAGAGAACCCTCAATCAGAAAGCCATAAGGAAAACACCTGTTTCTTTTCAAATACAGCTGTCACATTCTGAAGTCACAAGGGTTATAATTTCAATACTAAAAATTATTACAAGTATTCTGTAAGAATGCGTCGTAAGTTTTTGTTCTGTGCAGATTTTGAATTCCTTTGCAGTTCTGTTTCTTTGTAGTAAACTGAAAAATATGTTTCTGGTTCTTTCTAGGGATCAGTACCTGTTTAAAAACAGACCAACAGATGGCCCCCCAAATTCGTTTTACAGGTCCTTATACCCAAAGATAATACAGGACATAGAGGTATGTTTTCTGACATGTAATATCTGCAGCAGAAATGATATTTCTGTAGTTAATGTTTCAAAGGTGCATGCTGGAATGATGAAGCATATTATATGCATTTGTATTACTACTGCATTCTGGGCCCTGAAAATGTAAGAAATACCCTCAGCAGCTTTGTGTTACTCTAAGCTTTGTGTTAACACTGTCCTTTTTGCATTTAAAGGTCTTGGAGCTCTTTTGGGTCTGTGGTTTTTAATAAAATGGCAGTTTTAGGAAACTTTACTCGGAGACAATCCTTCGTCCTTCAGAATGTTCTGATATATTCGTTAGACTCACTTAAAACATGATCTGAGAGTTAACACTAGATGCTAATCATTTTGAAGTGTAGCTCCTGTAGTAACTTGTTACTCGTAAAACTGTAAATGATACAAATACAGCTTTCTGCACTGGGTGGGAATCTTTTTTGAAGATTTTTGTGATAGAGAAATTAGTCCTACTGTAGCAAATTCAGGAGGGGTATCGGTGGTAAGGAGGCAATAGAAAGGACAAATCTTTTGTCTGATACAAAAATGGTGGTTGTCTTTCTGGAGTAACAATGTTGGGCTCACTTTTTAAAGGTATTTCTGATAAGGATCATCTATTCTACTTAGCAGCAGAATGTCAGTCTTGCTCAGTTTCCTGTATACCCACCACTGAACTCTTCAGTGATACTTCAGGCATTACAGTATTTATTTCAACCACATGATGGATATGAAATTTTGGTCTGAAGTTCGTTAGTGGGGAAATGTGTTTTGATGTTTAAGGCAGATGTGATCTAATGGAATCATTCTGCCATGGCAAACATGAGTCTGTGTTGCTTGGCATTCTGTAAAATTATTTAGAACTCTTAGCCTATCTGTAAAACGTAACTGCTGCAAAATATGATCCAATTTCCAAATATTTTTAACCCCTGTTACACAATTTATAAACATCTACAGATCAGAACTAAGGGTTAAATTTTGCATAGGCAAAGAAAGATCAAATTTGATACTTGCTAGCTGAATGATGCACATCTTAGTATTTGAAGGGAGATGTCTTGTATGTGTAAGGCATGGCAGTGGTATTATAGTAATGGTAAGCCCGTGGAATTAAAGGCAATTCTTGATGTGATATTCTTTTGTTTTCAGCAAAATTTTGATGTTGTTCAGTAACAAAAATGGGAGAAAAGCAGTGTGGAAAGATGGCCTTTGAAATTGTGTAGAATATTGAATAAGTTCATCATTATTTTATCCCAGATTTTAGAAGTTGTTCTCTTCCAGTACTCATTCAGTAAGGTATAAGTGAAACATCTACATAGGTTTATTCTGGTCACTAGAGATGGAGTGTTGCTTTGAGGGGTTATGAAGCTGTAGCCTTTAAACTTTGACAGCCTGTTATTTAATAATGATTCTTTAGTTACTAGAGATGCACTGATAAGATACACAGAAATGGTGCTCCTGAAATGGATGGTTCTCACTAGCAGGAAGTGAGGAGGGGGAAAAAGACCAGACTCTTGTGTTTCACTCCTTACCATTACTAATGCAAATATTAAAAGTGAAATGTTTCAGTATCCTGAAGTGGAAGACTGTGCCACTAAAAATATATACTGTAGCAAACATGTTTCTTGAAAAACTCAATTTTGTTAAAAGAATGGTAAACATATTAGACCTTCAAATTAAGAGAATTTTTGCACTGTGGTGCCTGGTAAGTAGCTATTCAAAATATGCAGAAAATATCAGTGTCAAGAAATAGTGTTCTGTTGAGCACTGTGCTTGTATTCCGAGTTCCAGTTCATACATTTTTGGTTTTTTCATCATATCATGCTGAGGTGGATGATGTGATGAAGGTTGAGTATATGATGTGAGGAGTTACCTTGTGTCAGGTTGGAGCTGAGGAACGTGCTGTGTGTAGAACGCCAGGGAGCACTGCTACCTGAAAATAGCAAAGTGAGTAATGAGCATGGGAAATGAGTTGTCTTCTCATCTGTGTATGAACTTTCAGTTCCTGCCCATTCCAAACTACCTATCCAGCTGCTCTTACAACTTCTGTAGCTTTTTGGGTAGAATTTAAGGTACTGTTAGCTAACCTCAGAGCCGTACGTGGCCCATGGGTATTACTGCAGAAAAGTAAAGCTGGAAGGATGCTGGAGCTGTCAGCTGTGGGCTCTTGATTCTTAAATTCATTTTAGCAAAAATGTAAGCTTCTGTTTGTCCGTATTCAGGAACCAAGCGCATCTTTGTCCAGTCTTCTGGAGTGGAGAAGTCTTTGCTTGAAGCAGTGGCTGCTTCCAGCATCATCACTGTTGGGTTCATACAGGCAACATGTTTCCCCATGGGCTCTTGGGAATGGCTCAGCTGGAAGCAAAGGCAGAAGGGTGAGGGTGGTGTTGTAGCATGCCAGCGTTTGCCCTGCTTAGATGTTTCAGGCTTTTGAAATACTGCTGCTTTTAGATTTCCAACCTGGAGTGGGGTTGGTGTTTTTGCTAATAACCCGGAGTCCTATAATCCATCTGCTTCCCAGAGTGTATTAGATTTTTTTTAACTTATAAATCACCCTTTTAAAGCACTTTTCACAAATTGCTTCCCTAAAGAACTGTCAAAGGAAGCTTTTAACTTTGTTTGAAAATGTAGGTGGTGGGTAACAATGGCAACAAGACTTAACTGTAAGGGTTGGAACACTTCCTAACTCTGTTCTGCTTGGTTTTGATTTTGCCTTTATTTGTTTTTTTTATGCCTTCAGTTACACTTTCCCTTACTTTCATACTTTTCCCATTTCTTCGCTTTTCAAAGCAATATGCAGAATCTCTTAAATAAGACTTCCATTTCAGCAGTGTTGAAGAGTTTTCTATCTCTGAATATCAAAATGTTTTTTCTTTAAATATTTGTCTGGGCCTTTAATAACATCTTCATCTTCTGTCAGAGCTTAGGCAGCTCATGATGAACCAAAGATGCAGACACTCCCTTCATCCTCCTACTAAGGCTACTGTATTAGCACTGCAATGTGATTATCTTAGTATCTCTGTTATCTTCCATCTGGTGGACTCAATTTCTTTATTTTTAATACAGTAAAAGCTACTTGATGACACAGAAAATCAAACCAGTCAGTATTTTTCCTGTGGAGAATGAAGATGAAGCTTGGCTGTGCTGTCCCTGATGTGAGGAGATACCTCAGTTTGCAGGAGCTGGTGCTGAACTGGCTCTGTGGGTGGAGATGAACTCTAAGAGCTATGTCCTCTATTCTTCTGATTGACTGACAGAACTGAAAAGTAATTCAAAGCTTGAATTAATGATTGGAAGGAAAACTGAGGAATGATAAGAAGCAAATGTGAATTCTTTCCCTCGGACTCTATTTGCGTTTTAAGTCAAAAGTCCATGCAACCACCAAGTGTCATTAACTACAAGGTAGGACAGGCTGTGATTTGGCAGATGAGGCTCCCTTGCCTCTCTGAAGCTTTATTAGTGCCAGTGTTTGTTTATTTTGTGCCAAACACATTTTAGGAACATAGTGTCACTTCTGAAATAATCAGATTTGAAAATAAGAGGACATTTGGAGATCTGAAACCAAATTCTTGGAAAGAGGTCTCTCCCTCCACTGTGAAGCCAAATATTTAATAAGGTTTCATTTCACAAGAGGTGGTCCAGCAATGCTAAATGTCTCCAAGTCCCACGTTGGATTGCCAAGCGTCTATAGGATTTTTTTCTAATAGGGGCAAACCCATTTGGGGGCCATATCTTAGAAAACGGAACCTGGGTTTGTGAGACTTGTTGATGGAATTTTTTTTGCTGCAGGGTGTCCTGTGACCGGATGCAGTCCTGAAGGGCGGTGTGATGGTCAGCTGTTTGGAGTGGGTTGTGTTAATGGGCAGCATGCCAAGATGGGAAGCTTAATACTGCTGATTGCAGAACCCTGAGTCCCTGGATTTTTTCCATATTATTTGTGAAGCCCAGCCAACTATTTGGTTTTCCCTGCAGATCTAGCACAAGTATCCATGTGATGAGTTGAGAAGGCTGTTTCATAAATGTTCCCCTTATCTTTGAGAACATGACAAGTTCTCATCTTGGTTCCATGGATACTTAAGTCCACCTAATTCAGATTAGAATTAAAATGTGATTTTTTTGCTTCACATTTTCATACTTGAGCTGCTTGAAAGGCACATCTTAATGTGAAGCTGGCCCACAGACTGAGGTGGAGACCGAATGGCACAGGCCTTGACTCACAACTGAGAGGGGCAGAAAACTGGTCTGGGGTCTCCATGTCATGGGGCAGATCCTTGGCTGGGCTTTTTTTCATTCCTTTTGCATACACCACTCCTGCTTTGCACAAATGGGCAGCCAAGGCTGCTGTTTTCTTCGGAAGGTTTGAAAGAGGGATTTTGTGTTCCTGTTTGAGTATTTCAACTGGTCTCATGCTCTGGTGAGGGCTGATAAGTACCTGTTTAAATAGAACTGTATTTTTATGGCGCTGTGTGTGAAGTTGTTTCAAATGGGAACTAAAAGATACAACAACTCAGTTTTTCATCAGCACTGCACTTTGTCAGAGTGTACAGCAGCTGTGTGTCATCAGGGTACTTTGGAGGAGCTCTCTGCTTCCATTGACGTTAGCTCACGTTTTTAACACTTCCTCTCCAGGTCTGGAAGAGATGGATTTCTTGTGCAGTTGCAGTGTTACTTTCCTCTCACTTCAATAGCAGGAGTCCACTTAAAGTCTCAGTATATTTTGATATTGCATTTGTAACCTGAAAGCTTGGCACTTCACTGCGTCTCTGAAGCATGCAGTGTATTGTTGATGGACATTGTAGATGAGGGGAGCATCAAAGAGAAAACCAGCAAGAGCCATCCACCATCCTGGGCAGTAGGAGTCCTAATACTAAATTACTGTTCTTTAGGCCTAAAACTTCTGTTTGTCTCTGCCCCCTTTTTTTTTTTTTTCTTTTTTTACCTAAGGTGTCCCTGATGTGCAACATCACTTTGCCACTCTGAGAGAACATTTATCTTTTCTTTATGCTTTATAAAATAATCTTTATTACGCAGTCAGCTTTTTTTCCTAGGGTTTCCCTTTTGTGTTGCTGGCCTTTAGTACAGTTTCTGCAAGTCGTCTTCTCTTCCTCTGTAACAAATGAACCTATTCTGTTGTCCATATCTATCTCATTCAGCATCTGATTTGTTTTTTTCTGTGGCTTTAAAAAGGGTTCTGTAAGGCTGCAGTGAGTCTTGGGGATAGTTTTACATTGAGCAGCTTCATATGTATCAGGTTGGTTGCAAGCAGAAAGACAACACTTCATCAACTTCCACTGCTCATGTTTGGATCTTATCTGAGCAGCTGTAAATGATAGGAACATAATTTTTAGGTCTTAATTTTTTAAGCCTCCTGGGCAGCATGCATCATGCAGCCTTTTCTCATAAGACTCTTACAGAGACTACAGAAGCTGCTTGACTTTTGCTGGCTAACAGCAGAGTAGAAACCCAGCAGTGGAGTAGGGACTCCCATTGGGATCTTTGGAATCAGCATCCTTGTTCAGAGGTTTGGTGCTTTCTTAATTTCCTAGGGAGTCTGAAGAGGAAATTCCTCAGAAATGCAACCCTGTCATTCCATCTTTCCATATCAAACCTTTTAACTTCATAAGGAATGAGATAGTTGACCCTCTTCACCCTGACGACACAGGATCAACTCTAAATGTGTGAAGAATAAGAGTTTGGGGCTTCAGCTGCTCTTGCTGTAAATGCCCAGTGCCTTGGGAGAATCCCTGTTTGTGGTTCCTTTTCCTGCTGCTTTTGTTCTGAGAATTGTGTTTTTTCAGGGAACAGTCTCCTTGGTTTTGGGGGTAAAGATAAACCTGCTTTGCAATAATATTCACAAGGATAAAAACCCCCTTTTTAGCAAGGAACTGAACACAGGGTACGTCATCAAACGTGGGGAAGAAAACAACCCTGCTCTTAATAGATTATCCTTACCATCTGAAGTATAGCAAATGTTCCAACTGCTAGTCCAGATGGATTGCATCTTTTTTACTGTCCTTGTACCAGTGAACTTACCTTGTTGCGTTTAAGACTTGGCTATTCCTCTGTATCTTGGGCTTCTCTGGGAGATTTTGTCTCTAAGTGCCTTTTTCTGTCCAGTTCTGCAGTTCCTCAGCTGCTAAATGGCTCTCTGTGTGGCAGACGTTTTATCTTCACCTTTGTTCCTTATCCCTTGTGTCCAGATTTTGGTGGTTGTGTAGCATGCTTGCTGCTGTCACCCTAAGTGAGTATTAGTGAAGTGTGTGAAACTGCTGTGCCTGTGAGCCAAGGAGGCAGAGTTCTGCACCGCTTGCATTCAGCTGTGAAACCCAAGTTTAGGGGCTGCTACCTTGGAGACTTGCTGCAGAAAATGCAGGACAGTGCTGCATCAATTGGCGTTAGGTTTGTTGCTGTAAGCATGCAAATAAATGCAGTCTCTCAGCGTTGACCCCAGGATGCTTGTAACAGTCTATAAAACAGAGCAGTTTGTTGCTCCCTGCTCATATGCACACACACACCTACTGGATGTGTACGTAGTGTGTTGAGATATCTCCTGGAAGGACTGCAGCTGAAAACCTATTAACTGCACCATTCGGTAACAACCAGAAATCTCCTCTAGCAGAAGCTTTTATGTGGTTGCCAGTATTGTATTAAACATGTTCCTTTTCAGAGGGTCCTCCAGGTTGCCCACCCACTCAGCTGTATTTAGTCATCTAAAATAATGTTATTTCTCCATACGTACACATCTGTTTTCACTCTGTTGCTAATTTAAATGCTGCTGTATATCTCTGTGTACTGTGGCTACTTTCCCAGCACACTGAAATTTACGCAGTGTAAGGGGATTTTACAAGTTCTCGAAAAACATGAAGTATTTTCCCACAGTAGCCACACTGTATAACCTACAAATGAAATGATATCTACTCGCAGAATTAAAATGTGCACCTGCACATGACTTGCTGCTTTATGGTGCCTTCATGTAGGTGTAAATAATACCTTAGTTTCTTTTATCTGACGCCAGTGTTTTCTTGTAGTAAGCTTATTATGTCGCTTCCTGCAGTGAGCTGCTAAGAATTAAGCCAACACTGGTCCCAAAATGTTTGGTCAGCATACTGCTCCCGACTGCTGCTCTGATGAGGAAACTGCTGCAGACAACTGATTGGTGGTGTTCTTAATGTATTCTGTAGCTGCCACAGGAGCCTGAGGTGTGGAGGTGCTCAAATGGGGTTGCAGTGCCTGGAGGTCTGAGTAATCCAGCACGTGGTGCATAGAACTGCTTGTTTCTGACCTTTCCAAGAACGTTCCTGTAGGGAAACTCTCCCTGAGGTGACTTCTTAGAACTGGACGTCTGAACTGAACTTATATGGTTCCTGAAGCTATTTAAATGGGATTGCTCGAATCTGAGATACTTCATCTCCAGTGTATTCGGTGTTAGTTATTGCATTTTCAAATATCTTGCCTTCAGATCTCTAGTTACAATGGCTCGAGCTATTAGTGTTTTAAATGCTCTGCTGTTTCCAAAGGCTACTCTATGAGCTCTGACAGTGAGGGAATTAACGAGTTGCAGTTCTGCCTTCCAAGCACAGGTGACAAATCTTCAGATGAGGCTTGAAGAGTCCTTTCTTCCTGACACATCCATCCCATGCTGAGGAAGTAGCAAAATGAGCAGTCTGCTACCTTCAGAGCAGGAGCCCAAGTGGAGCCAATGTCAGGTCTGAGCAGCCTGAGCCTGGTTCAGTCTGATGATCAGCAGCAGGCTAACTGGCCAGAAGAGCTGATCGTGAACTGGCAGATGACTTGCTGTCTTAATTTCATTAGCTTCCCCAACAGATTGGAAGAGAATGAGAGGGATGAATAACTTGTCAGTGTGCTTTTCCAGCATGCTTTAGTACTTGTCTTTAGACAAACTCCCATGGTACATCAGGTTTGTATTATAATTGTGGATAATTCTCTCCAAGTTGCGTAATGGGAGACAACTGAAGGAGTAAGTGCACGGAAAACCAAGTTTTCTGCTAAAATAGGCATATTTTCCTGGAATTGGGAGGTCATAGTTGCACTGTACTTTTGTCTTTAATTATCATTTTAGTTGTTTTCTGACTTGGAGAGGAGAGGAAGAACTGCATGGAACTGAAGAAGTGCCCGATACTGCTTTAGAGTTAGGATTTGATTGTAAATATTTTTTCCAAACTATCTGATCGTTGATCAGCTGTACCCTGGGATTCCGTGCAGCACTGTGGAGAGCATCAGGGAAGCAGTCAAATACATTGGCTGTTCTGGTGCCTGTGCTGGAAGATGAAAGGCATTTTAGCCTCCAGAGTACTGCAGGTGTTGTCCCAGAGCTGTGTGCAGACCTTCTGACCAAAATCCCATATCTCACATGTCTTTGAAGCCACCACTGGTCTTCTCACAAGCAGGAAAGCCGATCACAAGATGGAGTTAATTCTTGTTCAGCCATGAAAGTTTGCCTCCTTTTAAGGTGTCATGTCTGTTAGCTGAAAGGAGGAGGAGGAAAAAAAAGTAAGTTTTAGTTGTTCTTCAGATTGTTTAAATTTTATATTCCTTGCTGAGTGTTTTTTTTTTTTTTTTTAATGCTTTAAGGTGCTTAGCAGAAATTTGTGTATCTCAGAATCCCCTTGGATGCATGACAGCTAATGTGGGAAAAGGCTGGGCAGGGGCAGGAAGGCGCAGGGGTCTGTGTGCTGGTTACTCAGTGATGCTGAGCACACACCATACGAGTTCTTTGCTGCTGCTATCAGATGACTGCATATGTACAAGGGGAAACTGAAATGCATCTTTCTGATCGTTCCTCTGAATGTTCTCATGAAGGCTGCTTGAGTATGATTTTCAGCACTGAACGCTGCTTTTGTTGTGACAAAATATGAAGGTCTAAATTCATGGTGTTTAAAATATTTTTATGGGTGGTTGGGAGAGATACGGATATAAATTTTGCATTTAAATCTTAAGGATGAACTTCATAACAGTGAGAAAGATTTGCTGGGCCTCTTGGAGTAATCACACTGGAGCATGCAGCCTAACCCCCCTTGTTTCACCTCTTGTTAGACTATAGAATCTAACTGGCGATGTGGGAGACATAATTTGCAAAGGATCCAGTGCCGTTCTGAGAATAGCAAAGGTGTCTACTGTTTACAGTATGATGATGAAAAGATAATCAGTGGCCTACGAGATAACTCCATTAAGGTAAGCCCTTGGATGGTCTTTTCTCTGTGTGTGAATGGTAGTTCTGTCTTGGAGGGGGAGCTGTTTGTTTCCTTCATGTGTTCTCTTCCAGCAGTGCTTCTCTCGTCAGGGTTTGTGAGGAATGCCTTCTGTACCCCTGTAAAGTCTTAGAAACTCAGCAGACAGGCTATCAATACCACTGGCTACAAAGAAACACTTGTGAAATCAGAGTTGCCTGCATGAAAGAGGACTGTGTAGCACTTATTGTCAGCTGTGACTTTTTGTCATTCCAAATGGTTGGCTTTCATGAAAACCGGCTGCTTTCATGGAAGCTGTCCCTGAGTGCCATGACATTTTCTTTTTGTAAAACCAGGCTTTTGTCTTTTTGTGATCCTTGGTTGTTTGACTGTAATGCCAAAACCTTGCATCAAGGAGGCTCAGCAAGTTAGAAGGGAGGACAAGAGTTGTTGTCTGGACATGCAGCTTAGCCAAGGGTTCTTGCTGCTGTGTCCAGATTTCTTCCTTTCCTCTCAGTAGCAGCAGTGTGCAAGTTTTTTGAACCTATCTTCTTGATCTTGGCAAGCTGTTTATAGTTTTTATTTTTTGATAGATTTGGGACAAAACAAGCTTGGAATGTTTGAAAGTATTAACAGGACATACTGGCTCAGTTCTCTGTCTGCAGTATGATGAAAGGGTCATTGTAACTGGATCTTCAGATTCTACAGTGAGGTGAGTGTTAAAAGTTTAAAAAAAAAAAAGAAAGTGAGTATCAGGGTTGGGAATATTTGTAATAATCTCCAAATGTCAGAAAACATCCCTCATGTGAGTGTGATACCATTATTCCAAAAGTAAGGTATTTGCACTTGGCAAAGCATCATATTCAATTTTTTTCCAAGTCTGTCTCATGCTTTGTAGTGTTAAGCACTGTGAAGAGATGTGACCTGTATCATTCAAAGCACAACGTGAAGTAGAATGGCTGATGCACTGGTTACGTGGTGATTACCTCATTTAGGTTTCTTATGTCACCTTTTGACATACTTTACTTATGAGCTATAATGAAAGAAGACTTTATATGTGGAGCAGTTGACAGTGAACACGAGACTTCAAATATGCAGATGCTGAGGTACAGATCAGTGGAAGGGCCTTGTCTCCTAGTGGCTTGCATTGCTATATCAATACTGATCTATTGAAATTAAGAACTGGTCATAGCAGTTACTGTCAGTTACTATAAAATCAGTAGTGCTACTCACTTGATGCAGGTCCACAAGGCCACTTCTTTCCAAATGGTACAATGTGTGCTAATTGTGATCGCTATCTCAGCGATATAAAACTCTTAAAATAAAACTCTTAAAAAGTGTAAAGTATACTTTATTTTTGGTTTGCTTCATCAATTTGTACATTACACAGGTTCTAATCCACCTAGAAAGAAGAGTTCTAGAGTCATGTTTCATTACTGTGCAACCCTTTCTTTTAGCAGTGGCCCAGCTTAGGCTTTTTCTGGCCTAATTGCACACTGCTCCCAATTATTGCTTGTGACTGAGAAGTGAACCAAGATATTTCCCCAGTTCCTTTCTGCTCTTCCGTAACCTAAAGAGGTGTTGGCAAACCAAACCAGAGAGCTCTCTTGAATATGGTAGCAGAGCTGTATGTGTTTGCACTGTACAATGCACATAGTTCCTTCATTTGGGATAAAATTCTTTTCTTTTGCAGAGTTTGGGATGTAAATACAGGTGAAGTTCTGAACACGTTGATTCATCACAATGAAGCAGTGCTTCATTTGAGGTTCAGTAACGGCTTAATGGTGACATGCTCCAAAGACAGATCTATTGCTGTCTGGGATATGGCATCACCTACTGACATCACCCTGCGCCGTGTCTTGGTTGGCCATCGTGCTGCTGTTAACGTGGTAGACTTTGATGACAAGTATATTGTGTCAGCATCAGGTGACAGGACCATTAAAGTAAGTTGGCAGAACTTTGCTGTGGGTCTGAATCCCTACCAAGCCAGAAAAGCTTCTGGAAGTTACAATTCAAATCCGAGTAGCCAAAGTTTTTGTAAACAGTTCTGTGCCTTTCTCCTTACCATTCAGCTAGCTGCTTCCTCTGACTAGTTGTTAATGTCTTCATGCATATAACAAGTCTTGTAGCATTTTTGTGGTTACTGTTGTGCAGCTTCAAAAAAGTAAAGCCTACTCATCATCTGAACTCTAATCTCGAGATGGGTTTGTTTGTTAAATGTGGCACATTTTGTGCCTTTTTCCAAATGGGTTTTTTTTTTTAAATTTCAATTGGCAGTCCTGTTCCAGACGTGAAATTTATCAGCAGTTGCCTTTCCATACCACACCTTCCCAGTTAAACCAGACTTTGCTGTGTTTAAAGAATTAAAATGCTGTATTTGAAAACTACTACATACCAGAAAATCTGACTTATCCAGAGTGTATTAATATAACAAAAGCGTTTCCACCCTTCCTTCTCTAGAACCAGAGCTACTCTGTACTGTGCCAAAAAGCACTTGGAAGTTCCATGTCCCAATATCTGCCAAGAAACCCGCTGCACTGTTTTGGAAATGAGCTACTTTACATGAATCCTTTACATTACAACTTCAATAGCAGTTCATTAAAAATGAACCAATTTGATCAAAATACTTCAGTGTTAAAGAAGAAACAGCCACCAAGCCTTAATAGGCCGTGGCTTTGGTCTTCTCTTAGAAGCAGATTGCTAGCAATTTATTTGGTAAAAAAAATACAGCTTATTTTTGTATATGTATATTCTCTTTTTTAAAGGATTACTTACTTACCAAGATTCAAGTGCCATCAGCCGTTGAAGGTTGTTTGGACCAGTATCTACTACTTGAAAATACAGTCTTTCTCACTGACGTGATGCACAATAGCAGAGCCAATGGCTCTTGTCATTGCTAGGCTCTGTAATGCCATCTTCCACTAACACCACGTGCCTCCTCTTTCCCTGTAGAAATACTATGGAAGTTTTCATTCTGCTGCCCAGCAAAAGTCAGCCTCAGACTTCTGCTTATGAGTTTGTAACAGCTTCTGTTGGAAGTCAGAAGCCTTCATTGAGCGTAATTCTCAAAGAAACATCCTTCTTGTGTTCCATAGGTCTGGAGTACAAGTACGTGCGAGTTTGTTCGTACTCTCAATGGGCACAAGCGTGGCATTGCCTGCCTGCAGTACAGGGATCGACTAGTTGTCAGTGGATCTTCTGACAACACCATTAGGTGGGTGCCAGCAGGCTGTCACTGTGTATCTGTGTGCATTTCCACACGATAACAGGATTTCCCCTGACCTTTGCTGCAAACCATCTTCAGTATGTCTTGCTATTAAAGCAGATGCTGTACGACTGGAATTTTGTTCACTTTGAGAGTTAATATATCACATACATGTGAAAAAGTGAGGCTGAGAGGTTCAGACGAACGGAAACAAAACTGTCTGTTCCTGTAGTTTATGACCTAGTAAATAGTTTGTTTTCTACTTGAGAGATGGTGACGCTGGTCACTGGTTTTCGTGCTTTCTGAACTTCTAGTATCACTGATTTATGCAGAATGGAAAAGTATGTTGAGGTTTCTTAAAATAATCTAGCAAGTATACAACCTTTACTCGCATGTAATTTTGAGTGTCTAGATTAGTTTTTATGTACTGCAGCTGCAACGCAGTTTTATCTGAATTGCAAATGTCTTCTAGTTCTACCAGCTGCTCTTTTTAGCAAATTGTGGTATTTTCTGCAGAAACCCCTTCAGAAGCATGCTTAAATCACTGTGTGTAAAGTGAAGGGATAGCACAGCCTGAAGTGCTCAGACTTTCTTCTTTTCTTTTAAGGCTATGGGACATTGAATGTGGTGCCTGTTTAAGAGTATTAGAAGGCCATGAAGAACTGGTCCGATGCATCAGGTTCGACAACAAGAGGATTGTTAGTGGAGCCTATGATGGGTAAGTTTCTGAGAGCAATTTCTAAACGTTCTGCCTTCATTAACAAAGCATTCTGAAAGCCTTTGGGCCTTGTTTGCGGTATGAAAGGTCTCTTCTGATGTGACAGATGGATCACTGTTGGAGTGGCTTCTGCTTCAGCATTTCAGCCTATCAGGCTGCGGTTTCTTGTCTACTTAAAACTACTATTCTGGTGCATTCTAGTGCACACACAATATATTTGGCACTCGTGCCTGACTTCTTACAGAAAATAAACTTTTGTTTGGTTGAAGTGAGAATTGGTCTAAAAAAGTGCATTCTTTTGTGTGTTCCCTTAGGAATTGCTCCTTTCCAGGTCCATGTACTCAGAGTAATCAGTGCTTTCTTTTCAATTTTTGTTTGTTTCAAGACAACGACACTGAAGATATTTATTGTGAGGGCAGATATATCACGTAGGGCCCTCAGAACTGTTCAGTGGCTGTTTCTCGTAGGTTAAAGGCAGGAGCCCCACCATGAGCACTTCTGATTTGCTCTGCCTTGCAAGTGGTATTTCTGCTGTGCAGTGGATTCAGCACAATGTACATTCACATCCAAATTCTCCAGTTCTATTTCTGTATGAACTCTCCTTGTAGTGAACAGTAGAGCTATTGAAAACAATTCTTGAACTGTGTTAGTCTCCAGCCTTCTATTTGGGCTTATCATCCCTCTGGGGTTGGCAGTCCCTGCTTAATTCCTGTTGGATCTTCACACTTCATCAGTAGTGTTGTGGGCTTTTGAGATCCTCTGCAGTTCCAAACTGGCTTGTGTATACAAATGTAGTTAGTTTGTCTTGAGTATAAACAACCCACTTGGGCCATCACAAAGACATCACTGTATTTGCTTCTAAAAAGAAATACAAAACTGTCTGTCCTACGAGATTCAGCTTTAGTAGTTTAGTGAAGATAAATTATAATGTTTTGCTCGATTCTGATAAATCAGCTGAAGGAAAGATCTGGAATTCTGTCTGTTGCTTTTAGATGTTTCTGTGCTTTCATTTGAAACGATGCTTATATAACCTTCTTATCTTACTTTCTAGCAAAATTAAAGTTTGGGACTTGCAAGCTGCTCTTGACCCTCGTGCCCCAGCAAGTACATTATGCTTGCGTACGTTAGTGGTATGTATGATGTATTAATTTGAGGTTTCAGACTTTCCATTTGAAAGCATGAGGCATTTTATTCCCTTACCTTAGGAGAGATGAGAAATTCAGGGGGTTCTCTGTAAAGCCTGGGCTATTTCTTGTGCTAAAAATGAAGTAAAATGTACGTATCATCAACGATTTCAACTGAAGTTTAAATGAAAAATTAAGGCATTCTCACAGACTCTAAAAAATAAATCACAACATTATGTTAAATCATTTTAGCTACTGGCGTGGTTCTCTAATACCACTGTCATACTGGCTTCGAATTTCCTTCTATTAAAGGGGCTGAAATTCTGTGAGTCTTTCCTCAACCTTTTTCCTAACCTTTCAGTTTGAAAGGAAGAGGCATGCAAAGAGAAGGGAGGATAAGTGGAAAGAATTACCAGAGGAACTCCCCTTGCCCCTGAGGACTATCAGAGTTGAGGCTGTTGGTTAAGCTGTGTTTTTCCTTGTATTGAGAGTTTTGGTTTCTGACAGTAAACTGAAATTTCATGCACTTCTTTTTTAAAATTTACTTCAGGAATCAGTCAGACGTTTCCCCAGTCTCGTAACAACCCAAAGTTACTGTCTGCATATGATGGTAACTGGCTTATTCAGCCTGTGTTTGGCCTTTCCAACACTATAGAAGTCCTTATATTCCTAAAAGCACTTACATTTTTTTTTCTTCTTTTGAATAATCTTTGTGTGAAGATGAGCTTTAACTATTCTTTTAATCTGTATGTGTATTTAGTTTTACTGGAAAGAGTTGCTTCTTTCCCTTCTGTGGGTGTACTGTAGCTCAGCTTCTAGTTTGGAGATCAGTCTGGCAGCTTTAGTTAGTTCTCTAGTAAAGGTCTCATACTCCTCTTAAATTAATTAACAAATGGGTAAGAAGGAGGAAGAGGAAAACTTTTTCTGGACATCCATTCTGAGGTTTTTCCAAAGAGCTGGTGGAGCTCCTACGCCTCCTTTCCTTATTGGCAGCATTTGGACGCGCTCCATGAGTGAGCCATGCTGATTCTTGCAGCAGTGTGTCCTCGATGAAGTCATGATGTGGTGTGTTAGTGCTAGAAAAAACTGGGTTACCAGCAGTGTTGAATGCAGAATCTTTTGTATGTAAAGGAACCCCTGGTGTAGACTGTTAGTGCCAGCCAGTCTTCTAGATCGATACTTCCTAATTGATAGACTGCCTCAGTCTTTAATAATGTCAGCCTCAACATGTGCAGTGGGCCCCTGCAGGGAGACTCAGAGCTTACAAGTATTTTATTTGAAAGCTGTGTGTTACACTGGACAAAGTTTATGTATGAAAACTGCTTTTCTTTAAACTCGAGTGCGATTATAACTCAGGGCTTCTTAGTGCACCAAAATTTTAATGCACCACTCCGCATCCAGATCTGTGTGAGCACAAATGTAATGAAATGTTATCCTCCTCTTTGCCTGCTAACTACTGTTCATTTCTCACAGGAACATTCAGGACGTGTCTTTAGGCTCCAGTTTGATGAATTTCAGATCATTAGTAGTTCCCATGACGATACAATTCTGATTTGGGATTTCTTAAATGTGCCACCCAGTGCCCCAAACGAGACCCGCTCTCCATCTAGAACATACACTTACATCTCCAGATAACAGTCTGCACTTTACTACCCTCAGAAGGTAAGTCTTTGTCTCTTCACATAGAACATGTTTATAAATTTATCGCTTCACCTGCAGGTTGTATTACTCTAAACAGTAAACTGTTGCTTTCCTTAAGAAAGCAGACATTTATTATGCCACTTCTTGCATTACTTAGCCATGCATGGTCGTGCTTCAGCTTTCAAAACTTGCCATGTCATGATATCTCATCCTCACGTCCCCTATAAACTCCTGTAATTGGATACTTAAGATATAATATAGGAAGTTACTGGATATTTGCAATGTTCTTGGAGATTTTGGTGCATTGGTACAGGTATTGCAAATATCCTGTGAAATCAGAATCTTTTGGAGCTTTTGAGGCATCCAGGATGAAATCTTTTAACGAGCATCTTGATGTGCTCCTAGTAAACTGAAAACACATATGATCTTTGGACAAACGCTCATCACAAGTGAGCAATTCTGTGATGACCGTAAGTATCTTGGAGGACTTTCAGAACTAAAAATAATGTTGTGTTAGGCAGTGTGACAAAGCTGTCAAAAGCAGGGCACGTGGTCTTAACCTATTTTGTTTCAGTTTTTCTGCAAGTCCGCTTCCTGTCGTTGTTCAAGCACGGTGGGTAAAAGCTCTGCTGTAGATCTGTTTGTGAGAACAATGGTTTCTTTTTCTTATGTCATCTGCGTTGCTGCCAACAATTGCACTTCACACTATAAATAGCTGTGAGTGCTGGGGCTTGGAAATGTAGAAATTGCCTTAGCAAAGAGCAGTGGCCCCTTTCTCCAGTGCCCTGTGTTTGACTATGCTGATAACGCTGTGCTTTCAAGGAAGTGGGAGCACCACAACAAAAGGAATTAGGAGTACTACTGCCTCAGCTGGAAGGGTTTATGTAAAGTAGGTAATTAGTCGTTGGCTTAAACACTGTGGCTCTTCGTGTAAGCCTGGATTTCCGTTGTCTATCTGTATGTGTTTATTCCTGCTATGGTCTCTGACTTCTTTCCATTCCTTCTGTAGGATCTCTCTTTCTGGCTAGGAAACAGCTTTCCGTGTGAAGAAACACTTGGCTTCTTTGAGATAGTTTCTTAAAAGTCACTTTCCTCTGACCTGCACTCATCCCTCAGGAAAGTGTTGGCTGCTGTTCCTGCTGAGTGAATTCCTGCTTATTTTGAGGAAGGCCATGGTGATGTCGTCTCTGGGTAGACATCAGATCCAGTGGCTTGTTGGGTTCGACAGAGAATCGAGGCCAAAAGCTGGGCATTGCTAGACTGAGTTTCAGAACCAGTAATTATTTAATATAATCAGGCCCATGCCTGAGCAAGAAGTCTCATGCTGTGATGCAGTGTTAGCGCACAGAATCAGCGGAGAATGGAGCTTGCTTATTTTCTTCAAAATCTAAGGAAATATATTTACATCCAGCTCCACTAGAACTTGGGTGTAAAGTGCATTTAAATCAACCCATTGCTCATATGAACTTCAGTTCTGCCCTGCTTGTGTGTTAGGGAATCACTAGTATTCCCTGCAGTATTTCATGCGTGTCCTTATCCTCCCTTTCTAAATTAAAACCCCAAATCTGACCGTATTTCTTAGTGTCAAAAGAGATATTGCAGTATTGAATACACATTGAGCAGCTCATTTAAGAAATTGTGATGTTAAGAACGTTGCTGCAAGGGTAACTTAGTGAAAACTCACCAGCTGCTTTATTCTTTGTGCAGTGGACGGCCAGCAGAAATTTGAAAGCAAGTGATAATGTAACATTTATGTTGGGTGGAGAGGTAGTTAAATGTGACACTTTCCTGGGGGAGGTGGATCATGAAGCTGTTCAAAGCAGCAAGGTCCTTTCACACTGCTTCCCTCTCACTTCCACTTCAAAACTGTGTGTGTGGTTGTGTTCTTACATGGAAAGCTTGGTGCCAGCACTGATGGTTGTGTCCCTGGGGACTCTGCCTTACTCTGTAGGCAGAGATGCTCCCGTTGGCTGCTGTGCCACATGGGGCAATAGCTAGGTGAACTTTTGCTGTGGAGACTCCAAGGCTTGTTGAAGTGGAATGGTTACTAGTTTGATTTGTGGAAAAGCTGTACGTAGTTTGTCTTAAGCACAAGAGGAATGTGTTGGTGCTTTATTTTCTTTCCTGCCACATGTGACCTGCAAGATCCACTGTCATGGAGATTTGTTGATGAAATATGAAGAGCCTTTGGCAGCGTGTTCTTCCTCTGAAATTCTGCACACTTGACAATTTTGAGCAGCTTATGACTGACTTGTTTCACGATGCAGAACTAAAAACACGCAGGGATGTGATCCCAGGAATTGCTAGTGTTGATAAATGGCTGTCCCTTCATGATGTTTCCTATACAGGGGAGATGCTGTGATGTCACTTTCTGAAGGGTTTTTCTGAAGTCAGAATTCACAAAACATAAATCTACGTACAATTATGGTCAAACAGCTAATATTTCATTATGACATTTAATGAAACGGTTTTATATGCTTTCAAACATTATAGTTTTCTGTGTTTTGAAACAGCCCCACGCCCTTGGTTTTTTACAAGGCTTGCAATGTTATGCCTCTTCAAAGTGGATCATTTTTGACAGTCCTGGCAGTTGGCTGTGAGAGTTTTATTGCTTTCTGTTGAACTCCTGGTGTTTATTGTAACATGATAAAAATTGTTACCATATGATACTCTGATATTCTTATATTGAGCACTAGGTCTTGTGCTGGGGGAAGGGAAGCCATTGGTTAACATCTAAAGATGTTTTAACCTTTCTTGGGAATTTCATATCAGAACAGGGCAGTTCACCATGGTCCACAAAAGTGATTTTGGAAAGTGGTGAGTAAAACTGAAATTTGGATTTAATTTCACCAAGTATTTACACGGTCGTGTAACAGGATGGGGGAAACAAAGTCTAAAACTAATTTCAGTGTCTTGTCTGCTCTCTTAAAATCCTACGTATTAGGAGCCAAGTTTGTATTTTGAGCAAAGCTTGCTCCTCTGCAGCATTGGAGGAGAGGAAAGTTCATTTGTCCCTCTTTCAGTAAAGTGCCCAGCATTTAGCAGGATGAGCAGGTGGTTCACCTTTTAGCTCCCCAAAGGTGTGTAAGAAAAGCGCTCTGATGTTCGGAGTGTATTGTGCAGGAAAGGCAGTGTCCCATGGAGGTGCACCGTCCTTGGAGGAAGGACTTGTATCACAGCATTATTCCCAGCTGAGTGCCTCCTCAACACGGTAAGCGCCGTACTCCTCACAGTGTTTGGCTCTTGTACTTTCAGCCTGGGGTGCCAGAGATGGTGTGTGCTTAACCTTCTCCTGCGTCTCCAAAAGGTGCTTTTTGACTTGCGTGTTCTGTGAGTTCAGTTTGTCTTTTGTCTCTTTCAGGGTTTCACAGTCTTGAACTACTGGATTTTGGCTCCTACATGCCTGAAGATGTTGATCGACAGCTAAAGTCAGAATTGGTTCTAGATGCTGTGTAGATGCAAAGCAGCACAATTCTATATCTAAATTTCTTAATCTTTCCTGCTCTCAGTGGTCGTCTTTGAATTTACTACAAATTCACTGACTTCGAGTAGATGAATTTCAGAAGCCTGCCCTCCCCTGCAGTGAGAAATCCAAAGCTTCACATGTATATTGTCCGTAGAACCTGAACTCAGATGGCTTGTTTTTTCAGAAATAAATCAGACGTCAAGAAAGGACTTGGCCTAATTTATATTGCTTTGCACTTTTGTCTGACTTCAAAGAAAAAACATTCTCCAATGAAATTTGGGTGCCAAACACATACCCAGAATGTACAGAGCTTTGCTTTCCAAGTCATCATTGTCCTTTAGGCTTTGCTCTTACGACAGATTCAGAGCCTGTTTTGTTTGATAGGAGTGTACGTTGGACTCTTAGAAATATTTCTGAATTGCTCAGTAATATTTTTGGATTACAGTTTACTTGTTTCTGCACCAATAATTTCTTTTAAATTAAAGATTACCTGTAATTCAGGCTAGGTTATCTAAACTAGTTGTATAGCACTGTCTTTTCCTTTTAACTGTGCTCTGTACGACAGCCGTCCTGCGCTTCCTAATGTTTGGTATAGTAAAACCTTTCCGTGTGTGCTTGCCTCATTTCAGATACTGTATAAGCATGTAGATACGATGTACATAACAGTGTAACCTCCAGGTGCTAGGAGTCAGGATTTCCTGACACTACACACTAACGCAAGCTGTGGTAGCACTTGGCAGCAGGATGTTCTGACTACTGGCACTGTAGGGGATAATATGAATTATCTAGAAATTTTCTCTGCAAAAGGAGGTTTTCAGTATTCATTAGGATTTTTTTAATGGGAACTACATATTTTAAAATGTAATTTCTAAACTTTTTAAAAATTAAAAAAAAAAAAAAAGGTTAATTTATGTTCTGTATCTTATATTTTGTGCTGCAGTATTGACAGTTGTCTTTCTTTTACCACCAGTAGGTTGTCACAGTCGCCTGCTGACGTCCTTTAGCATTAGTTTGGCTGCTCAGTGGAGGAAGTGCCATGGGCCGAAGTGAAATTTATTTATGTTTGATTTGTTACCCTTCCTCGTGGTGGAGTGGAGGTCCCTTCAGGTCAATGCTCTGATCGCCGTGCAGGTTTCCCTACCTGTAGCTCTCAGCTGTAACCATAATGCGGTGTCCTGGTCATGGTTTCTCTTTGTTAGCATGCTTTTATTTGGAATCTCAGTAGGGTTTTCTTTTGTGTTGTCATGGTCTCCCCTCTAATTTATGTGGTCACAAACGCTACTGCATTTCTCTTATGTTGGAGTAAGCCGTGGACAGATGCAAACGTGAATATCGTACCTTCGTCAGCCATGTGTGACTGTGCCTGCTGGTGGCTTTTCTTCAGTGCTTCAGCCAGCGTGGAACGCGCCCGTTTTCCTGGGGAAGATACGTGCTGGCACAGAGATGGGTCACCACGGATTGAGGCGTCGTTTGTGTCCCCTGGCAGCACTTTGTTGGAGCTTCGTGCCATCAGGAAGGCAGAGGGCTGTCAGATTGCTGAGGGGCTGATCCCGAGTGCAGGGAGCGTCACTGTGTGTCAAACGAGTTCGGAGAAGGCGTGCGTCGAGACGTTGCCGAGGTGGCCCAGCAGTGCATCCTAAGGTTTTCTCCTCCCCACACTGAGAGAGGTGTTGGGATCAGTGCTCAACTCCCATTCGCGTGTTACGGCAACGTCTTTACTTCATCAAGGTGACCAAACGTGGTGAAGTACAGAAGATGAACAACGTGCTCCTGGTTGTCCATAAGATCCCTGGTTGGGAGACGTGGCAGTACTGTGTGAAGGTACCTTACTTCCCCTTCTCATCTAATAGCTTTAACATCAAATGGTCTAAAATCTGCTGCAGTGCTGAGAAAAAAACAGACAAACAAACACCAAACATAATTGTTTCTGAAGAATGGAGTCCTTTTCTAAATGCATGTGTAAGATTTAAATTCCTGCTTTTTCCTGGGGAGATGATGGTATTTGAACATGCGGTCCGAACTTCTTTGTGCTTTGTGTAACATAGCAGTGGACTTTTGTGATTGGCACCCAAGGAACTCGACTCCTGGGATTCATGGTAGTGATCCTGGCTGCACTCTGGACTTTGATTTGCTAACATAATTGAGCAACTGTACATTACTGCTATATTAATGTTTCAAAGCACTGGGATAGTCTAATTCTAACTTGTAATTATGTTTGCCAATTACCTGTTTGGAAAGTTGGTGTATGAACAGCTTATTGAAACTGTTAAATTGTACAGATATCGTTCATGATCTAAAGCTTTGTACTGTGGAATGTGCTTAATAAAAAAAAAGTTTGAACTTAATTTGTCGAATAAATGGATCGGTAATGTCGTTAAGGCATGCTGGTATTATGCATTAGTTGATGCAAGGGCACGGTGAAATCTTGGAGAAACTCATCTGCTTTGCTGCAGCACTGGCAGCTCGTGCATCAGCAGAAGCAGCACAAGAAGAATTTCCTTGTTATTTATCAAGGATGCAGATAGGGGTGTTGAATGTTACCCATTTCCTTGGCTGCTGAAGTGATCTGTGCTCGTGCTGAGCTCTGTTCCCAGAAAGGGACTCCTGATGTTCTGTGTCTTAAAAACTGCTCTCCTTGGGTTTCCTTCTGCTGATGTGCAGTGCTGAGGTTGAAGTGCTTTGAAGCTCCTGCATAAGGCAGCCGTGGTCACGTAAAGGGGTGTATCTGCCATCAGGCAGACGGTAACACGAGGAAGGTTGGTCTTCCTTCCATCCCCTGCTGTTCAGTCAGTTCTGGTTGTGACTCCTTTGCTTTTAAGTAATTGGAGAAATCATCGCTGCTGATGGGTAACGATTCATTTCTGATCGGTCCAACCAGAAGTGATTCATCCCGCAGATCCGGTGCTGCCTTGCTCTGGGAACGAGGCCCAAAGCAGTTCCCTGCTCCGTTGGTGTCCCCTCATGGTATGGCTGTCTGTGCTGAGCGAGCTGTGACTGCATCCCCACCGCGGGGCTCGCCATCACCTCTTGGAAGTGCTGCTCTCTGTAAGCTGTGTGCAGCGACCTGAAGTGCTTTTAAAGGGGCTGAGAGTGTGAATGAGGTGCTGGCAGGGCATCAGCAAATTTGGTATTCTGAATTTATGATGTATGCTACTTTTTTTCTGACATTGGATAACTTTCCCAGAGACTTTGTTCAGATTACTTCAGAGAGAGGAAAACGAATCTGCATGTGTTAGCAGTGCAGTGGGGAAAGTGTAGCCTCACAGAAGTGTTCAAAGCTGCTGCGAATGTCTTGCTGAGTATCATGACCCAAATAAGCCTTAAAAGTTCTGAGCTGCCCCTGCAGAGATACCTGGAATGCACGCTGTCAGGTCAGACTTAATAACCCATTTTAGTTGGGTGGCTTTGGTTTTCCTTGCTTATGTGCTCATCTGTTAATTCCCGCTGGCTTCATGCTGTGCTTTGGGGTCCTTTGGCTCTTCATCCTTACCAAAGGTTGGGGGTGATAGGCTGTGCCAAGTGTGATGTGACTTCTGCACTGCTGTCCAACATCCTGTGGGCACTGGGCAAGCAGGGCGAATCTGGCCGTGGTTAAGGATGAGCTGTTGAGTATTCTGTTTGCAATAGCTGTGGCTGTTCAACTTACAGCAGAACTGTTTCTCACCCTGCTCGTTGCTGTGCCGTGTTACGGCAGTGTGTGGTTTTGCTGTGTGTTGTTACATGATGCTCTCAGGGACAGGGAAGCTGTTGTTAGCCCTATCTGCTAGTTAATGTGGTGGTGTGGAAGGTTTGTGCTCAGAAATGAGGCAGTGGTTGTGTGTGTTGTGTCTTTCATGATGCACACTCGATATGATGTGGTGGCAGTGAGCAGTGAGGTGAGCGGGCCTGGATGCTACAAACTGCCCACAGCTTTCTCCTTGGCAGCTACAGAGCTGAGTGCTCCAGGCCCAAGTTCTATGTTTGGCCTTGCTAACTCTCCTCTGCTGCATTGTGTTTTTCCTTTGCAGATGTCTGCTCTTCGTTTACCTCTGCTGCTCACCATGTCCAGAAGCTTTGTTATTTTTTTTCTGTCTCTGAGCAGCTGTGAGATGCAGAACTCCAAGTGGGGAGTGTGAACAGGACGGCCTGGGCTTTGGGAGGGTGGTGGTTACCACTGGGAAAACTTGCAGAGATAGAATGACTGGAGGGGAACAGCATGTGCAGAGAGCACTTGGATGCAAGGGAACACCTTGCTTTCCTGTCCTGCATAACTCTGGTTGTATTTCTGCAGAACCTGATTGTGCCAGATCTCCTGCTGTGGGTCAGCGCCTACCAGGGATGGCAGCAATTACAGCTAATGAGTTTCAGGTGTTTGCTCTTTCCTGGATCAGTGGTGGAGCTGCCCAACACTGCCTTGCAGCATATGTTGGGCAGACACCAAACCTCTTTGCTAGTCTGGAGCTAGAAGCTGCTTCCTAACAGAGCAGGAGTTGATTACCAGCCAGGAGGTGACCCTTGCAACGCTTGCCCAATTACAAATAACTTTCTGAAGCATCTATCTAGTGGGCTGAATTAAGGAAGCATCTGGAATGGGGTTTTTTTGGCCTTTCTTTCCAAAGCTTTATAGCAAATTGTGCAAACACATGCAGGAAGCATTACAAAAGCTGTGTATGTCCAAAGAATTAGCAGATGTTATCCCTCTACTCTTTCAGGGAGCAGGGATGAGCCTGCTTGCTCCCAGGGCTGGAACTGACCTGAGGAGAGCAAAATGACTTGGGTCAGCATGGAGCAGATGACCTTCAGTGTGCAGAGGTGAGCTCCCCTCAGTGCAGGTGCATTGCACTTCCCAGGCAGGCTTTTATGGCTGTTATTCCCCCCTTGTTGCTCTTTTTGAGCTCTCACATTCATGGGTTCGCTGGTAGAATCCATGCTCCGGATGGAGGGCTGCATCTTCCAGAGTCTGAGTGGTTTGTGTGGGACAAGGCAACTGCTCCAGTGCATAGGTGTTGCTTTGGAGAGGTTGAGGGGGAATGGAGGGAGGGTTGCCATGGCTGGCCCTGGGCTTAGGGAAAGCAGGACAGGGTATGGGGTGCTCAGGTCCTCCCTGCTGCTTGAGCAGAACAACCCAGTCCGAGGCCGATCTGAAGGTTTTAAGGTTTCCTTGTACCCTATTTGTGGAGATTGAAGCTCAGTGCAGTGAGCCACCTGCACACGTGGCCAGGGCTGTGCTGCAGGTAGGGCAGTCCCTTGCTCAGGCCCAGTACCTGCTGGCCAGTGAAAGTGCTGTGGAGCAGCTGGAGCTTCCTTACCAGGTCCCCTCCAAAGTGATTTCCTTTGGTGCCAGGATGCTTCCCATCCTGTCCTGCATGGGTTTGGTGCAGGATGATATCGGAGGGCAGCAGAGAACTGGACTTGCTTTGCTGCAGGGCTGAGTATTGCTGCCAGCACAGTGGAAGAACGCTGAGCATCAGTGCCCCTGGGGATGCAGTCTGAAGTGTGGCTTCCATTCTGTTTCTGGCTTTAGTTCTTCACCTGTCTGTTGCTATTTGCATGGCTTGACAGAGAAACGTCATCTCGTTTCCTGCAGTCTGCTTGTGCTCAGTTAAACCTTGCTTGAATCTCTGCCTCATTTGAAGTAGCTGTGAGCTGTTTTGGGGGGAGAGGTTGCACTGCTGCTGCTCTGCAGTGGTTCTGCACCTTCAAATGCACGCTGCCCATGTGCCATAGAAGCCATATTGCTACAACCCCACGTGCTTCCTTTCACCTGACAGTCTTTTCCCAAGACCCTCCCTGTGCAGTGAATGGTGACTTCTGCCAACCCCTTCCCCGGGCACCTGCTGTGCCCTTGGTCTTGTGTCCAAATATCAGACTGGCTCAGAAGTGACAGCGGGATGAGGCTGTCAGATCTGCCTCCTGTGGAACTGCTGTGCTCATAGAATTCGAGGGACCTTCCTATGGTGCAGAAATGGGCTTATACCCCTGTGAGAAGTGTTGAAGGCTTGAGTCTTAATCACAGAGAGAAGAGCATTACAGATAATAAATCAAGAATGGTTGCTACCAGGTACCTACCACAGAGCAGGGGGATTTGGTGCTGAAATCTCAGCAAGCATCACAGCTGGGGGTGCAGCAAGGCTTGGTGGCAGTTGTCCTCTGAAAGTTGCATCTCAGCTTGGCCCAGGAAAAGGAATCTCTGGTCTATTATTTGTATGGGTTATTTGGGAAAAGCTATAGGGAAGGATCATCAGACAGAAACCATCACTGAGATGCTAAGATGGTGTGTAGCTCAGGGCAGCAGCGTGGCAGTGCTGAGAGGAAGATGGCAGCGTGTGGCTGCTGTATGCCAGGCCCACGAACCAGAACTGATGGGGTTGAAACTGTTCTACCACAAGCCCTTCATAACTGAGGCAGTGTGTAGATGCTGGCTGCCAAGTTAGGCCCGGAGGTGGCAACAGGAAAGCTGATGATGAGAGCTTGCACGTGTGATATGTGCTGAGAGCTTGGGAATGGGAGCTGTGATGTCTGCTCTGCATCACTCTGGTCCACCAAAGGCTTTGTGCCCACGATTTGAGCTGGCTTCCAAATGTGGGTGCTCCCTGCAGCTGCCTCAGGCCATCAGTTGTGTCTGGGGTCTTCTCTCCTTGCCCTGTATTTTCTTTCCCTGCCTGCACAGTGACTGGGACGTTTCCTGCCTCTTTTCCAAGTGAGCATCCCTTGTGGTACTGTGGGTTTTTCCTCTCAACTCCTTCACTCCTGAAATCCACCCCTTCCCATGTGTACACCATTCCCTTGCCCCCAGCAAAGTGCTGCCTTTTTGCCCAGATCCCTTCCACCAAACAGCAAAACCACCCGGCCAAACTCAGCCATAGCCCGCTGGGGGCAACAGCATGGCTGGAGGGCAGGAGGGCTGGGTGCTGTTCTCTGCCAAGAAATGCTCAGCTGCAATGCAGAGCTATTGCTTCCACAAGTCAAAAGCCTCCAGGAAGACAGGAAACAGCAATCTTCCCTTCTGGAGAAGTGAGAGGGTTGTGCATTTTTGGAGGTTTATTCTTGGTACTCAGAAGGGCTCCATGAGTAGCAGAGGCTGCACACGCCAACAAGAGGGGGAATGCAGATAGAAGTGAGCACTGCTCCTGAGGGACGATTCCCCTCGGGATGCAGAGGACAACTGTGAGACGTTCCCAGTGTGTTTGTGGATGCCCCACACTGACAGCTGTTGCTCAGGGCTGATGTGCTGGTATGAAGTGTCAGTGCAGGAATGGCTTCGCTTTCATCCAGGAGCACAAACAAGGTTCTGGGGCTGCCAGGCACCGTAAACTGCACCCAAACCTCCTGCTGGCCGGTGTGGTAAGTCAGCCCTTCCTGGGTG